TAGTAGCGTCCTTGCTCCTAGTAGCGATGCCAGGAGCCCCTAGTAGCTTCTTGTTCCTAGTAGTATGGCCAGGAGCCCCTAGTAGCGTCCTTGCTCCTGTGGTGTTGCCTTCTGAAACATGTTGATGAAAGATGGAGGACAGCGTAGCCACCCCTCTGGCCCTCAGAAGTGGCCACGACCCTTTTGACAGCTCAGATTGGGAGCGAACAGCATTTCTAGTGCCCCAATTCACATGGCTCTCAACTGTACATTGGTTCCATGGGAGGCCATCGCTATTAGGTTGGAGGCCATCACTGGTAGGTTGGAGGCCATCGCTCTCAGGTTGGAGGACATCGCTATTATTAGGTGGTACTTGCACTTGAGGGATTGTCAAAGTCGGCTCATTTTGGCCCTTTTGGACCACACGAACCAGATGGAACTACTCAAATTTGTCCCGACAGATTTCCCACCAACTCCCCAAAAATGCAATGAAGCAAAAAAATAGGAGCATCATTATATCCATATATATATATATACATATACAAGAAAAGCAAAAGGCAGGTCTAAAGCTTAAAGGTCAGATAAAACGGCGTGCAGCCAAAAGGAACTAACACAAGCAAAAAGAGTTCCACAGGTGGTATAAATAATAACATGTCTTCAACGTCAAGAAAGACATGTCGAAAGGTCTACAGAAAAAGGACACGAGCCCTCTCCATGTCTGAAGAAAAGACAGACAGGCCTAACTAAAGGCAACAAGAAATTGGTATGAAGAACAGAATATCTAAAGGTTTGAAGAGCACGATCTGAAGGTCTCAAGAACAAAGGAAACGGAAGGTGTGAAGGTCTGAACAAAACAGTAGAACAGAATGCTCTAATCAAGGTGTCAGGAAACTGCAAGAAAGGTGTTAGGGCCCGAAGATAAAACAGCAAAGAACTGTCAACAGAAAAGTGAAACGTCATGTCCAATAACAACAATATAAAGCAAGAGATAAACCAAAAAGACAGGTCTGTCAAGGTCCAAAGAAAAAGGCACAGACATGTGTAAAGGTCTAGAGTCTCAAGAAAAGGAGCAAACAAAACAAGCAATGTACCAAAAAAACATATAAGACAGGAGAACGGTCTGAAGGCCACAAGAAAACAAAATAAATTTCTAAACGCCTAAAACATTAAGCAAACAGACAAAGGCAATTGATATGCAAACGCAAGTAAACACACATACAGAAACGTCTAAAAGTCGTCTAAAGATACAAAGAAGACAAACGTCTCAAGACAAGTAACTATAAATGTCCAACGGGCTACATGACAAACAAGATAGCAACACACAAGTAATAGAAAAGACTGGTTTAAAGGTCGAAAGAAAAACAGGCAAAAAGAAAGGTCCAAATAGTCGGAAGGACAAGCAACAGAAGCGTAACAAGTCTTTGTTAAAGACATGACCGTCTTGCAACAAAATGAAACAAGCAAGACGTACAGACAGGTCTGTCAAGGTCGAAAAAGGAAACACCAATTGCAATGACCATGAAGACCCCGTGACTCATTCCACCGTCGCAAATACATTCAATATATGTTTCAGGGCAAGAGAATTGATTAGTAATTAGTAGTAACAAGAAGCCACTACAGTAGTAGCAAGGACGCTATGAGGAGGCCATCGCAACAAGAAGCTAGGAGCAAGGAACACTTCCACTTCCCCCATGACTCCACCGAAAAAGTTTTGAGGATCCTCACTCCCTGAAGTCCAATGAGATGGCTCAGTGCAGCTTCCAACCGCAGCAGCCTTTGGCCTCTCGGATCCTCTCGCGGTTTTGGTTTTCCTTTCAGCGATAGCTCGGAGTCTGGTGGAAGGTCTGCGTGTGGACTTTGGAGCACCTGCAGCTCCAAAAAGTGCTACGTATTGCAACAGCAGTGTATCGCTTGACTTATAGCAGTGCAACTTCTATAATCGTTTTAAAATCATTTTTTAGCTTTTCTTTGTGAACTACTATTTTTTTCAAGGGGGGTAGGTCGCTAGAGGTAGGTAGCTAGTAGAAGAGGTAGCTAGTAGCTTAAGCAGCTACTAGATCTCCCCGGATCTAGTCACTTGTCCAATCGAAGATGAACATTCCTCTCCTTTCCTCTTCCTCTTTTTGTTTAGGCACATCTTGCCAAACTGTGAGCATGCAGCATGCATGACATAGCGGTTTACTCTTTTGCAGTCCTGTCACAGAGATGAGGATTAAGCAAGTTGATTTTCTACTCGCTACCTGTTGATTTTCTCACAAGTTTCCGGTCAAATGACTGCACCGTTACGACACCGAATCGATGTTGCCCATCCAACGAACAAAATATATATCAGTTGGTGCTGATACAACGGTGGAAGCTAAGCCGCCACCAGATGTTCATGATAGAAGATGTTCATGAACTCTTCAAACGTCTTGTTAGATTCGAGGCCCCATCCGGTTTTTGGAACCCCTTCCTTGGTTCCTTGAAGCCTAGGTGTAAGAGAGGAATGGACCACACTGATGTCTCAAAGCCAGATGTAATCTAGGAACATAAATAAATAGCGTGAGCCATCCTGCGACCAGTTACTAGAAGCTTAAGTAGCTAGTGGCTTACTTCTCATTAAGTAGGCTTCTACTTAATCAAGTAAGGAGGGCCGGGACAACCGGGAGAAAAAAGAAGACTCCAGTGCCCACATGGGTTGAGAACCGAGGTTTGCGACACCTTCAAGAACTGCGAGGCCGTCCGATGGATTTGCTCTTGTTGACCGAAACATCTCTTGCCATTGGACGGGTCTTTGTTCGGTGTGCGCAATCACCCAAGAAACTCGACCAATACCACGGTTTGGTGCTGGCAAGCTGGTGTGGTGCTGGATTTGGGTCATATCAGGCACCAAGGTAAAATGTGTAGCGAATCAGCTTGTGGATGGTAGCCAGAAACTCATCCCGGCATGAAATTGGTCCAGGTCTTCGAAGGGGCCTTTTGTCACATCTTTTTTTTTCATGTGCGGTCAGAACGGATGCGATGGCCTCCAACCTAATAGCGATGGCTTCCAAGGTCAACTAATTTTCACATCTGCTTGAGAACGGATGTGGTCAGTGAAGAGGGTCGCCCAAATCTCTCCACTAATCTTCCATTGGACCTTGGGATATTTTGGATTTGCCAGGCCGGTCTGCGCACAGCCAAACTCTTTTTGGTGGTCAGGGATGGTTGGCATCAGCTGGAAGTCATTCTTACCATCATCATTGTATTTCCCGTCAGGTGTAACGGGCAAAGGGATGCACAATGAACTATTTTGAGCAAAGGAAGACTTATGTGCCATGTGCAGAAGCACGAACTTTGCAAGTTATCAAATACAATGGACTGGGTCGCGCAGCCCGCTTAATCTACTTGGTGCCTGAGAGCCCTACTCAAACTCGACAGGCCATGCGGCATGTGGGACCCACCCTGGGTGAGGATCATTCCATCTAAATCTAGAGAATGAGGGCTTCTTTGGTTCTGCGCAGCAATTGTCACATGAGATGTTTCCTCTTGAATTTTGCTCCACCACAAACACACGAAATGACCGCAAACTGGCAGAACGTGATTCTGGACTCCTAGTGGATCATTGCGAAAAGAAAACTAGACAACAGGGCGGCAAAAAGAGTAAGAGGATAAGACAGAATCTGGAAAGAAACCGTTTCTCCGAAACAAATCAGATGTGATGACGAATGATGTCATGATATGACATGCGAAGTGATGATGTGAGAATGGTGATGCGTGTGTGTGTGTGTGTGTGTCTACACCTGTACCAAAGGACACCGACCAGTGCAAGATAATAATTCGTTTTACCTCACTCAGATTTTCAATTCCATTTAACAGGCAGGGGGCACGGCGGCCGTTCACCTAGCTGTGCTAACAAAGCAATGGTGTTCGGCTGGAAGAGATACTGGACGCAGTATCTCGTACCTGCAAAATTTTTAATAGTAGTCATCGGTGATGAATTTTTAAACCATATTGTTCCGGACTCACTCACCTTGCCGTTCCCTCTCAGGGCTGGTTCCCAGGTTCTCAGGCAGCGCTCTAAGCCGGTAATGTATTCACTAGAGTGGGCTACCTTCACTGACCTAGCTCTTGCGAGCATCAATCTAAGTGTGTGTTGTCACAGAGTCCCACTGAGGGCTGTGGTGTGATCCCCGGCGAGGGGCGCAGCATGTGCATAGACCCATTTTGGGGGGATTCTCACTGGCTCTCTCTTGTCCCTCTTATGTGAACTTCACTCTGATTCTCACTGGCTCGTTTGTTCTGCTTGAGATTGCTGATCGAATGCCGCAGGGCCCACTGAGTTAAAAACACTGAACGGATTCTCACATGCTGCTAAGTAGTCACATGCTGCTAAGTAGTCACGGAGCTACATCGACGACATCTCCGACTACAAGTTCGCCTATGCCCGTCTATGCCCGTGATCCAGGCGACATCGTCGACGCCTTCGAGTACAAGTTCAACTATGCCCGTGACCTCTCCGCTCTCCTTTGTCCTCCTCCTTGACGTTCCCATCTCTACCTTTGCCAACACCATCGCCACCACAGTTTGCCCCTTTCCCACACCATGACCCACCCAACATTCAGGACAATCGCATTTTTCTGCCAATCCATTTAACAGGCAGGGGGCACGGCGGCCGTTCACCTAGCCGTGCTAACAAAGCAATGGTATTTGGCTAGAAGAGATGCTGGACGCAGTATCTCGTACCTGCAAAATTTTTGATAGTAGTCATCGGTGATGAATTTTTAAACCATATTGTTCCGGAGTCACTCACCTTGCCGTTCCCTCTCAGGGCTGTTTCCCAGGTTCTCAGGCAGCGCTCTAAGCTGGTAATGTATTCACTAGAGTGGGCCACCTTCACTGACGTAGCTCTTGCGAGCATCAATCTAAGTGTGTGTACCCCTTGGAGTCACAGGGATCCAGTCGGATTTTTCAATTTTGCAGGGGGACCATCCATGTACTGTGCGCGATGGTCCAACGAAGCGGCCACACTACATGCGGATATCACGACTGATCACCGTCATTGTGATGTTCGTAACCACGATCCCATTCTAGAGTCTTGGAGGCTGTTTCAGGATGAAGAGGTCTTGCTGCCATCAAGGGCTAATGCACGTTTCGTCGTCCCTGTCGGTACTCGGCCGTTGTTTTGAACCTTGTTGCAACTTTAGTGACTTGAGCTTTGGAGTTGAACTTTGGACCTTTGGCCTCCTAACGACTAGAGATGATCAGGCCTCCCCGCACCTGACTTTTCAGGAATATGGTTACCTAGGTTGCCGTGTGGCGAGTGGCATTCTGTTCAGTATGCATATCCATAAGTGTGTGTGTGTGTGAGATGTGGACGTTGTGAAACATGACAACTGGCAACCGATGATGATGATGATGATGAAGATGATGATGAGGACGACGACGACGACGACGACGACGATGATGATGATGATCAAGAGGACGACGACGACTTCCTCTTCTTTTTCTTCTTCTTCAAAATGAACATGTGAGAATCCATGTGTCTGCGTCCAGACTCAAAACATCTCCTTCTCTCCGTCCACGTTCTTTCGCCATGTTCACCACAGGACTGTGCCGATGAAGAGACTGGCTAACACTCATCATACCGTCCACCAGAAGCACGTCGCATGAAGACACCAGCAACCCCCTTAACAAACCGCCAATGGCACGGGTACGGCGCCACGCACGCACAGTCCACAGAGGCTCCAAGCTGGGCAGAGGGACATCACAAGTGCAGTTTCGTTAGCCTTAACCATAAAACAGATGCAGCGTTGCAGGAACAAGATTCGCACCACTACTTGCCACCAGGTTTTGGTTCCACACCTGCATTCATACGCCTGTATGTACACCACCCGTATCATGCATATATAGCATTGATTAAAGTTTGAAACACCTTCATGATGATGCCCATGATGATGATGATGGTGATGATGACGACGACGACGACACTGCTGACTTGAAGATGCTGAAGACGAGGAAACGGAAAATTGATTTCACAACAGCAGTTGTTTACGAAGAGCCCTTTGCAGAAGCTTTCTGGAAGAGTAAAGGTTCAAATCGATTGGAAACGACAAGAAACAACAGAAAAACAACACAGATGTTCTATGAACTTTAGGACATCCTTTTTTCCTGTGTATGTATATGAAAACCCTATAGCTAAAGACCCTGAAGGTGTTCCCACCGCCATCTCGCCCTCAGGGTTTGTCGCGTGTGGCTTTCATGGATGGCAACGGTGTGGTGATGTTGGGCAAAGTCGTCAGCTGCGAGCGCAAGGGCGAAGGTCTCTTGGCACTGCGAAGGTCTCTCGATTCGCTCGCGGCGATGCTCGGAACTCGGTTTGGTGATCCACACGGGGGGGTTTCTGTTTTCCACGTCCGTTTTCGGCGAAGTCACTCTGAAGGTTTTCACGTCCTTTTGCAGGACGGTGCGTTACGTGAAGGTAAACTCACTGGAAAACTACACCAGTGGAAGAGGGTCAAAACCCGCAGGGGTCCATTGCCACACCGCGCACACATCCGCAATAGCCTGCGAAAGTGAACACCCACCATGGCAAAAACATCGGACAATAATAATAGGTACTGCATATACGAAAGGGGTGAAGAAAGCCTTTACGGTTGTTTGTTCATGACTCATATATGGATACCCTAGAAGTCCAAAGACTATATTTTGACGGACTGAAACAAGGGAAATGCCTTTTTGGGTTACCCAAAGACCATTCTTTTTCTAGTCTTTGACTCCCAGGGTATATATATTCTGTACTCAATCCCATGCGAGTTTGAACATCCTTTGTGGGATTGCTGCCTCTTGATTTTTTTGCCACAATTTCTCAAGGAGCATTGCAACTCTGCCCACTGAATTGTGTTCTCACTCCCCGAAACCGCGAAACACGCAATGGCCGGCCTTTTCGTGAAAGATGAACAGCTCAATCTCATTGGTTTTGCCTTTTTGGCAAAACCATGGCGTTGAAGCTTAGTTGTATGGCCATCAGTTGTTGCAAAACCCTCGCCGGCTTTCAGAACAAACCTTCGCTGCGAACAGTTGTTGTACAACAGGAGATAAAAAGGACCTCTTTTTTTGCGCCAAGGTCAACAAGGGTGGTCCGTCCAAGCGGCGAAACGACCGCTCGTTTTGATTCACGATGTCCGGGCACAATTGCAGTGTCTCCGATGGGGCGGTTTTCATATTGATATGGGCAGTCTTTAACATGGAGCAGGATGAACGTCCGACAATGACTGAACACCAATGAGAGAGAACGTCCGACCTCAACGGTTTCATTTCGGAATCGAGACTGCCGTCGAGGTGATGACAAGGGCGGCAAGAAGAAGTGAAGAACGTTGAGCCGTGATCACTTCGACCGCCCGTTCCACTTCACCGTGGAATGCCCTGACTCTTCTTGCGACGATCGGTCGCGTTTCGCGATTTTGCTCCGAACCGCCGGAACTGCCGCGGAGCGATCACCGTTGCTGTCTGGGCTGGACAGCCGCGACGTGGGCTGGAGACGGATGAAGAGAAAAGGCAGAGCAGGGCTGAGCAGGGTTGAGGGCAATTGGCTTTTTGGGTTACATGTGCCTGGAAACCAAAACAAGAAAGACATGGTTGTTTTCCGCAGCCATTTCCTATATTACATGTGTACGGACAGACAAAGAGTATCATTCCATTCCATTCCAGCGGTGCTTGAAACGGAGTCACTCAGGTAAATCTTTGGATTGGCTGCGTAAGAGTGCCCTGGGTGGAAGTGGTGCAGTGGCTGGATTCTAGTGATGCAGGATGTGCATGGATGTGCATCATCAGTAGCCAAATGATATTTGTCAGGTTTCAAGCATTTTGCTAGGAATTATAGGAGCCTTGACGGACCCTCCCAATTTCCGCATGTTTTCAACCCCCAGCTCAGCCTCACCCAGAGCACCCGCAGCTCGTCCTCATGGGCCTTTTCACCGCAAGACGTCACGGCTCCAAGTCACGGCGAGTTCACGTCGTGGGCAGACCAAGGACTTGTCGACTGGTCCTCCTAGGTGGTTCGGACGCTACTAGTAGCTAAGGGCATCGATTGTAGCTTCTTGTTCCTATTAGGAATGGCCTCCAGCCCAATAGCGATGGCCTCCAACCTAGTAGCGTCCTTGCTAGTAGTAATGAGCCAATAGTATTATGAAGTATACGATTTTCACCAGCGAGATGAGATGCGAAGCCCAGCACGTTCGCCGAACATCGCGCCTTCTCCGACACAGTGTTGATGGATGTTGATGGGGCCATGGAAGATAAGCTATGGCTTCACCCAAGACACTGGACTGGAAGGCCTGAGAGCAACGGGCCGATTTGGGGCTGTTTCACAGGTCGAAAAAGGGTGAAAAACGGGTCTTGGCCTCCAACCTACTAGTGATGGCCTCGGCTTCAAGCCGGGTGCTGACTGGATGACGAGAGGGCGAGCACGGCAACCGATGTCGGCGTATTTGGACAGGTGGAGCATGGTTACCGGAGACAACAACGAGCTGCACGGAAACAGCTCCTTTGCACAAAGTCCAAAGACGAAGGGGTCCGTTTCCACTGTGGACAATTCCCACATTGAGATGCGAGAAACCCCAATCAAGTTCAAATTTGGCCAGTTGACACTGAGACCTCCAAAGCCCACCACACTCGACCGACGCCATCGCAGGTCCTGCGAAGCCTTCTGTGGCCAAGGGCGACGGTTCGAGGCACTGCAGCAGGCACGCAGTGGGTGGTTTTGGATCGATTCCTTTTGAAGAAAACATATCACAATTTTGCGGAGCTTCTGTTTCAAGAACGAACAAGAAGACAGGTCACAGCACGGTTTGAGGTTCCTTTGGAGCTTGATTTGGGCTGACGGTAGGGTTGTATAGGGACTTCGAGGGAGGAGCAAAAAGTGATAGATACTGACAATGAAAGTGCATTTCCCTGTTTTGAGTTGAAAGGTCGTAGGAAGCTTCAAGTCAGTGGGAGGATCCTTGAATTCAATATATAACTAGTCGCCCCATGGTATTCACAACGACAAGTCCATTTTTGCTGCGGGTTCAAGCGGTGGTCAACTGTGGATATACCCGCAGGCTTGCAAGCTTAGGGATTTGGGGAAGGGCACTATCTGGGCGTCAGACACCAACTTGCATGACACACACACATATATAGATAGATAGATAGATAGATAGATAGATAGATAGATAGATAGATAGATAGATAGATAGTTAGATTAGATTAGATTAGATTAGATTAGATTAGATAGATTAGATAAGATAGATAGATAAGATAAGATAAGATAAGATAAGATAAGATAAGATAGGATAGATAGATAGATAGATAGATAGATAGATAGATAGATAGAGAGATAGACGGATAGATAGATAGATAGATAGATAGATAGATAGATAGATAG